CAAAAGCTGAAAGTTAATTAATTGTGCAAATTAGGTAATTAATATGTACTGATATTACCCTAAAAACCATCAGGTCTGTGCAGTGTCATAGGACACCTATGTACCAAGTTTTATTGAAATATTATGATTAGTACTTGAGATATCAGTGGAAAAGCCGAAAATTGATTAATCATTATGTAAATTAGGTAACAGATTTTTACCCAAAACTAATAAAATCTGTGCATTAGTTCAAAGCATCCATGTGCCAAGTTTCATTGAAATCCAATGAGTGGTTCTTCAAAAATCAGTGGAAAAGTCATAGAACAGCTTAAAATCAGTTAATTATCATGCAAATTAGGTAATTAATATTCATAGATTTTTACCCAAAACTAATCAAATCTGCGCACTAGTTCAGAGCATCCATGTGCCAAATTTCATCAAAATCCAATGAGTGGTTCTTCAGATATCAGTGGAACAGTCTTGGAACAGCTAAAAATCAGCTAATTATCATGCAAATTAGGTAATTAATATTCATAGATTTTTACCAAAACCTAATCAACTCTGCGCATTATCCCAGAGCATCTATGTACCAAATTTCATCAAAATTTGATTAGTGGTTCTTGAGATAACGATGGAACAAAAAAAGTGACATACATACATACATACATACATACATACATACATACAGACAGGGTAACTGCAAAGCCTCCCTTTTGTGCTTTGCACACGGGAGTCAAAAATTAGCATCAATGAAATCAGGTCAATTGAAAATCATATGTCGATATTCCCTAGGTTAAAGTTTATCATTTTTCTCTTTTGTCATGCAGGTGAAAATCTAACAAACAGTCCTAGGCTGAGAGAAGTCTGCCTGTAATACCTATATGTATATGTAAAATATCAAAGCAATCTGACTTGTGGTTTTTAACAAGAAGTTGAAATTATCCCTTTTTACCAAAAATGGCAAAAATATTCATCAAAATTAGAGAATTGAAGATATCACCCCGAAAAAAACAAACGTGAGAGGGGTCTACCTAAGGTACCTACCAGTATAAGTATGTACATGTAGGTGAATAACTTTTTTTATTGATTTCGTATCCTTATTGGGATCTTAAAAATAATACAATAAAGAATGTTGTTTAAATAAGCAACAGCAAGCTAAAAAAGTAACAAACTAAGGAAAACAATTAGAAAATTAAATGAATCAATATAATCAATATGTATAGTATCAAAGTCAATAGTGGAGCTATTGAGATAAAGTGCATAGGTATAATCATAATTAGGTCAATTTGCATAATATTTTCCTTGACGTGTGGTCTTATAGAATGTTAGAAGGATTAAAGGGGGTATGACACAGTAAGCATTGATCCATAAATGCAGCTCAAAGGTGTCACATGTCTAATTGCACATGGCTTCCATAAGAACTATAATTGTCCTATTGTTAAGAATTCTTTAAAGCTCCGTTATGACGAAACAAACAGTGCTTACTCTGTTGTACAAGTGAAATGGTTTACTTGCAACATTCTTGGTCTCAAAAAAATCAACATACTTGACTGAAATTCTGCCCACAATTGAATATTTGACATGTGAGTCACTTTAGATTCTATTTGGCCATTACATGTTTGAAACACAGTCCTGTAGAACTGTGTTTAAAAGTATCAAAAAAGGCTAGAAGTTGAAAAACATAACAAAGACAAAACTAATTCTAAAGTCAATTTGATATTATTATAGTTTTACAAACACAGATCAAATCAGTGTGTTCTACCCATTGTTCTGATAAGCAAGATGTATAATATGAATTATACTGAATCAAACCATTAAATTCTAGAATAAACCTCTTTAAACTTCGTATAACCCTAAAAACTCAACTTTAACCTCGGTGAATTCTGCCATACATTAAGCACCCTAAAAACTGAACTTTAACCTCGGTGAATTCTGCCATACAATATGCACCCTACAAACTCAACTTTAACTTCGGTGAATTCTGCCATACATTATGCACCCTACAAACTCAACTTTAACCTCAGTGAATTCTGCCGTACATTATGCACCCTACAAACTCAACTTTAACCTCGGTGAATTCTGCCATACATTATGCACCCTACAAACTCAACTTTAACCTCAGTGAATTCTGCCATACAATATGCACCCTACAAACTCAACTTTAACCTCGGTGAATTCTGCCATACATTATGCACCCTACAAACTCAACTTTAACCTCGGTGAATTCTGCCATACATTATGCACCCTACAAACTCAACTTTAACCTCGATGAATTCTGCCATACAATATGCACCCTACAAACTCAACTTTAACCTCGGTGAATTCTGCCATACATTAT